CATCAAATGCTCATTACGAATATAGAGAAGATGAAAACTGTCCCTGGAAACGAGAGAGATACATCCGAATATTTTGAAGAGGAACATAAAAGCTGTCTGCTACTTCCTCCGGTATATTTTCAAATTAATTAAGGAAGCTTTTCGAGTCAATATGTCCTACAAAATTCGGTAATTTCTCTTTCCTTGACTTTGTCTTATGCCCAATGTCTATCCAGCAGGGTCGTGGAGATGTTAAAAACCAATATTTATAACATCAAGAACTTGTTTGCTTACGTTAAGGAGCCCAAACGAATTGGAGTGCTGGTAAAACCAGTTTTGAAGAGCCGCGCTCATATCTTTCTCGAATTTGCTCTGCAGCTGTTGGGAGCATTAATCACTGGTCCGTTTGGCGCGATTTCGATAATTGCGGGTCTCAAAGTTATCTTCTTTAGGTAAACATTTCGATCGAAACGATCCGGATCACGTCCAACGATTGGATCCATTTGTTTCGCTTATCACACGATGCCTTGAATTCAAGTATGAAAAGGTTGGTTTGAAAGGAAACTTTTGATAAACAGTGGAATTAGTGGAAGCTACCTTTTTGATTGGAACTGCTTTACAAAGCATGGAAAAAAGTGCTCATATATAAGAGGGCCTAGCCATAGTACATGTAATCTACGTGATTTATTAGCGTTATTTTCACAGCGCTTCCCACAAGGTCTGTGAAACCGTATATTCAAGTGATTTAGGTGTTTGTATTACGAAATAGATAAGGGAATTTCAACGTCTCAAAATGGTTTCAGTTTGGTGAACTTGAATTTGATACTTTCATCCACAACGTTTCACTCACGATGCAATCCACATGGCTGGATCTTCGTTATTGATAGCAGAAAAGTCTGCTAATGTTCGCAAATGTTTTTGATGTGAATTTGGAATCTCTAAGGCTTCCCAAACGGCAATATGGAATAGATGACATACGTCCTTTTGCAAATGTAGTCATTTGCTTTGTGAAGCACACCTAAAATTCCTTATCAATCAGAACTGTATTGATATATCATCGTAATTTGCAAAGTCAATGATTTGCATATGACACTTATCACAAACAACACTTTTTCATGTGCTAAGCTAATAGAAGTTTTTTCCAGAATAATATCAAACTCAAAAGTTCTAGGTCATCTCAAACGCACTTCGCTGTCTGATTGGGATGTTACACCTGTCGCTTCCATCTGTGCAGAGTTCTCTCAAACAAATATCTGAGAGGTTCTACAATTGATAATT